TCAGAGAAGGCTTCACCGTTCCACTATGAAAATCTTGTCCCTGCTTGGAAACTTATTCCCTGGCACACCAGAATTCGCCCGTCCCGATGCTTCTGCAGTCGTGTTCCACTACTTGTCTGCGCTGCAGTGTGTCGCTACAGGACTAGATGGAAAAGTTGAAATAGTTATTGCAGCGAAAATTCATATACATTCCTAGCACTCCACAACCTATCGCACCGAAATCAATGAAAATTTGTATACAAGGCTTATTTAAGATCCTGCTCAGGGATATGACATTCATTCTTGACGCCGGCGCCAACGTACGGACTATAATCGTCTGCGCAATGCTAAGGCTGAGCCTGGCGGGAAGGGAATGACTCCTCCTCCCAGGCTCAGTCCTAATAGAGAGGTAAATGCGCTGGTGTGGAAAAATAAACAATACACATGTTTTTTTTTGGCGCTAGCGTCATTTGACGCCAATAGGCACCTATGTGGCGCCACCATCTTTCTCACCAGAATCGAAACGTCATACTTTATCAGGACACCGAATAACAACTATAGGCAGTTTCAGCGAAAAAACGAATATTTCGAGTGGTCGAGTAGCATTAGTGCAATAATGCCGAAATAACAATAGAAACGAGCTTGGACATAACTATTTCAACTTTTCCATCTAGTCCTGTAGCGACACACTGCAGCGCAGACAAGTAGTGGAACACGACTGCAGAAGCATCGGGACGGGCGAATTCTGGTGTGCCAGGGAATAAGTTTTCCAAGCAGGGACAAGATTTTCATAGTGGAACGGTGAAGCCTTCTCCTGATCGTTCCGCTATCGTTCGTCTGCACAAAGCCGGCCGCCCACCCGCCACGATCGCTAAGCACCTCGGCATCCACCGCAGCGTCGTGTATCGCACACTCCAACGTTATCGAGACCTTGGTGGACTCCAAGACCGCCGAAGAAGTGGAAGACCTCGTACTGCTCGCACGCCGAAGGTCGTCGAGGCCGTCAGAAAGCGGATAGCAAGAAACGCGACTCGGAGCATCTCGACGATGGCTCGCGACATGGGAATCTCGCGGAAGTCAATGGAAAGGGTCGTCCACGAAGACCTTAAGATGTACCCCTACCGTACTCGGAAGGCTGCTATCCTCAGCGCCTCGAATCAGCAGGCGCGAGTCAAGAAGTGCCGACAGCTTTTGCTTCGGACGCGCAACAAGGGCCACCATTCGATCGTCTTTTCGGATGAGAAGCTCTTCACCGTCGAGCAGCAGTTCAACGCTCAGAACGTCAGAGTGATCGCAAGGAATGCCGAGGAAGCCGACAAGAAGGGAAGAGTCGTTCACCGGGCCGC